CATCTCAATATTTTAATAATAATAATAACAACAACAACAACTAGTTGGAGTCTGAGCTTGGCAGTACATACCTGTAATCCAGGAGGATTACAAATTTTGGGCCAACCTGGGCTACTTGGAGAGCCCCCATCAGAAAAGGAAAAAAATCCTAATCGAGAACTGTACAATGTAATAACCAAACCTTAACCAAATTAAGAACTCAGTAGAGGGAGGGCTGGCCAGATGGCTCAGGGGAATAGGCTTTTTTTAGCTAACTGAGGAACTGACTTGAGTCGGAACCCTTGTGCTGGACTGTGAAGACTGACTGTGAACTCCGGGGGCCCCTCCACTTGATCTTACCCTCTGTTGTAGCAGTTAATATAACTAGTTAACTCAAGTCAGACTTCATCTCATTTAAAGCTGTAAAGGGAAAAAAGTTCTTATACTTTCCTTTCTTTTTTTAATTTAAAAATAAAAGTTCTAATTAGCATTGGAAATGTAAGAGACACTGGGTTCAAGAGCTTTTAAAAAGCTTTCCGCCCCTCATTTTAAAGAACTCACACATGATACCAGCGACAGAAGGCGGCGTGTCCTGTTGCAGGACAGCTACTGTATGTTACAGGACTGAATAACCGAGTGCTGAAAACTGGCCCACTCCCGGCTTGACCATGACTTTGATTATAGGTGTAGACAACATGAATGAGACAGGCTCTTAAATAAGACAGTGAAAGGGCATTCATCATTTGAACTTTGGACGTAGAGTTTGTTTATCTCATAATCATGCTAGCAAACATGACTGTTAAAATGATTTATTTATGTATGTAATAATTTAGAGATTCCATTTTGTAGTTTTCCTACTCTAAAGTGAAATAATACATTTAATAATTTGGGAGTTGGGATACACCTTTCCTTTCAGATGTCCTTGAGAAAAATTTTGTATTGACTGATTAAGAATACTTAACATGGGGAAGAAAAAAAGAAAATGAAAAATGAAAGAAAAAGATGATAATATGACATAGAGGAGAGAGACGTGAATGCTCATCATAAAAAATTGTCTCCGCTTTTTAAGGGAAGTGTGCTTTTGCTACTAAAAGTCATGCAAGCTTCTGGGGACTGAAAGGATAACAAAGAAGTAAATCTGCTATTTCACTCTACTACCCAAAGATAACCACTTCTGACATGCTGATCTTTATCTTCCTAGACCTTGCCTGTGTGTGTGCTGGGTACACAGCACAGGCTCGCTTTAGAACAGAGAATTGGGGCCAACAGAGCTTGTGAGTGTGTGAGTGAGTGTGTGGGAATAAGTGAGTGACTGAGTGAGAGAGTGAGTGTGTGTGAGTGTGTGTGAGTAAGTGAGAGTGTGAGTGAGTGTGTGAATAAGTGAGTGACTGAGTGAGAGAGTGAGTGTGTGTGAGTAAGTGAGTGAGAGAGTGTGAGTGAGTGTGAGTGAGTGTGAGTGACTGAGTGGGTGAGTGAGTGAGTGTGTGTAAGTGACTGAGTGTGATTGAGGAGTATGTGAGTGAGTGAGTGTGAGTGAGTGAGTGTGTGAGTGTGACTGAGTGAGTGAGTGTGACTGAGTGAGTGTGTGAGTGAGTGAGTGTGTGTAAGTGACTGAGTGAGTGTGATTGAGGAGTGGGTGGGTGAGTGAGTGACTATGTGTGTTTGTGTATTTGTGTGTGCTGTTACTTTGGAGACCAAAGAGTTTAAAACAAGAACCAGCCTGTTCCCCTGGCTGGGCTGTTCTGTCACTGTATCTACTTCTTTACTGATTTATTGCATAAATATGAAGCGTTCCCTACATCCATGTGCTGAGTTAGGGCCAACTGAGTGTTGCTAATGATTTTAGCAAAGAAAGGAGGACAGGGTCTGGTACTGGGCTGTTTGTCACCTGCGTGTGACTTCATGGGCAGAGGCTATGAGGGGGAGAGCTGGGGGAGCAGTGTCTCTTCTTGGAGGACAGCTGGGCCAGCGAGCTGTTCACTGGCTCACTGAGGCACCAGACCTCAGGACCTGAGGAAAGCCCTACTGTCCCTGGGTGATGGCTGTGCATTGACCGTGGCGCTCTAGGGAGTGCTCCGCCAGCCACCAGCATTTCCTGAGCACTGACTCTGCAGCCAAGACATTGCTCCTCGGGACAAGCCTGATAGATAGACTCTCCTTCACAGACAAGGAGACTGAACTTCAGAGAAGCTGCTCAAAGTCACGTGACTACAGGAAACAGCCAACATCTCCAAACCTCCATTGTCCTGTCAGGTGAAACTTACTGCTTCCAGTTAGTAAGCACTCATGTAGATTCAATCCTCGTGTTCTCGTGAGTGCTTCTCTGTAGACATTTGAACAAGAAAGCCACTACGAAAAATGCTTACCAATAGAAAACCCTTTTTTGTTTTTGAGACAGCCCTAGATGTCCTGGAACTAGCTCTACTGACCAGGCTGGCCTTGAACTCACAGAGATCCACCTGCCTCTGCCTCCCAGTTCTGGGTTTAAAGGTGAGTGCCACCATACCTGGCCAGTTTTCATGTATTTTTGAGACAGAGTCTCCAGGATCCCAGGCTGACCTCAAGCTCACTTTGTAGCTGCAGATGACCTTGACTTGGTCCTGGTGAGCTCTATGGGTGTTTATTAAGTAGAAGTGGTACCCGGGGTCATCATGCCTGTTTTTATGCAGTGCTGGGATGGAACTCGGGGCTTTTGCCTGTGTGGCAATCAGTCCATGCACTGAGTTCCACTCCAGCCCAGAGGTTCCCACTTTGTATCTTAAATTCATGGTATTGGAGCTTACTTTCTTCGGAAAGTCTTCACTAATTAGTGCATTTCATGTTCCTTTCTGGTGTTTCTACAGAACAGATTAGATCTTGCTCTGTCTACGGCCTAGCATGGGGTTTTAATGTAAAGTAAACAGAGCCCTGACTTTCCCATTGTAACACGGGGCGGTTCGGTGGAGCCATTGTCGTGCAGCCCTCAGCGGTGTCCTCTTGTGTCCTTTCCCAGGCTGCTCACACTAAAGAGCAACTTCGCATCCCCGTGAGTGCGGTTTGTAAGGCGAGAGATCTTATATCACACTTATGTTCTTGATGTGAGGGAGCGCATAATTGTTTTCTTGATGTGAGGAAGGGGGCACTAGCTAATATGATGGCAAACGCAGAACCTACTGACAAAGGTGTAATTTGTGAAACAGCTGAGTGGGCACAATCTGATTTCCCGTCGCCCTCGGTGCTCCAGCGCACCTCTGATAATGCTTTCCCTGGGCGTGTGTTTGCGCTGATAAAAATCACATCCACACACAAAATGCCAGCTTAATTATAAGAACCAATGCCAAGCATGAGGTTTCACATTTTCTTTTTAACATATGCTTTCTGTTTCACGATGAGACAATTCTAACTTATTTCTAAAGAGTAGCATAGCTTTGGAGCGATAGGGCTGTGAGTACCACTCTCTCTTATACTAAGACACCCTTTGGCCTTTCCCTGTACCTTATGGCCACTGTCCCCCGCTCCCTGACCCCTAGTATTGCATGGCCTCCCAAGGACCTTGCTGTAATTCTAATGTCAGGCAAATGTATAAGGTTTCCTGTCTGAGTTAGGGTTTCTATTGCTGCAACACCATGACCAAAAAGCAAGTTGGGGAGGAAGGGGTTTGTTTGGCTTACACTTCTAGGTTGCTGTTCCTCACCAAAGACAGTTCAGGAACTCACACAGGGCAGGAACCTGGAAGCAGGAGTTGATGCAGAGGCCATGGAGGGTGCTGCGTACTGTCTTGCTTTTCTTGACTTGCCCAGCCTACCTTCTTATAGAACCCAGGACCATCTGCCCAGGGATGGCACCACCCACCATGGACTGGGCCCTCCCCATTGAGAAAATGCCTCACAGCTGGATCTCATGGAGGCATTTCCTCAACTGAGGCTCCTCCCTCTCTGATGACTATAGCCATCTCAAGTTGACACATAAAACCAGTCAGTACACTTTCCTGTGGTTTCAGGTGCAGGCAGGGGTAGAGCAAGTTAATTAGTTCCCATTGGGAATGCCATTCTCTACATACTCTGCTCGCTGGGCCTCAGTCAAATCACTTAAGCTCAAAATAGTAATCATGAAAAAGGCCAAGCCAGATAGAGAGATACATACTTCATAGTCTGGAGGCTGAGGCAGGAGGATTACTGTGAGTTCCAAGGCGGCCTAGGCTACATTGACCCTTTTCTCAAAAGCAACAACAAAAATGGTTTAGACATGCCAGGCGGTAGTGGCACATGCCTTAATCCCGGCGCTCAGAAGGCAGAAGCAGAGGCAGGTGGATCCCTGTGAATTCCAGGCCAGCCTGGTCTACAGAGTGAGTTCCAGGACAGCCTGGTCTACAGAGTGAGTTCCAGGACAGCCTGGTCTACAGAGTGAGTTCCGGGCCAGCCTGGTCTACAGAGCGAGTTCCAGGCCAGCCTGGTCTACAGAGCGAGTTCCAGGACAGCCTGGTCTACAGAGTGAGTTCCAGGACAGCCAAGGCTACACAGGGAAACCCTGTCTCAAAAAGAAAAAAAAGTGGTTTAGACTCTGAGGCATGCCCCAGTCACTGTGCTAAGTGTTTTTACCCATAATTCTGTGAGGCAGAAATAAAGGACCATTTTCTATATGTGACAGCTGAGGAACAGAAAGACCATGTAACGTCCCTCAAGTTAATAAGTAGGGGTCAAAGCAGCCAGTCATCTTTTCTCGGCAGTAGGGGCCCTTGGAGAACATGGAGTTAAAGCAGAAACTCCCCACAGAAAGCCTGGAACCCCTCAGTGACTGAACAGTGTCATGGCTCAGGCAGGGTTAGGCAAAGGCCTGGAGACGAGACTCCAGCCAGGGAAGGCTGAGGAGCAGCAAGGGCCCCTTGTAGTCATTTGTTATGTACCTGCAGCCTCCTTACCCTATTCTCAACAACTGCACCATCAGGCCCGGCCCCCAAGTCACCATTTAATCACTCTGTTACAAAGTCTAATGAGTCCAAAGAAAACCACAACTCCTCTTTCCCCTTCCTGTTTTAATTGTAGCCACTTGGAGCAAGTGACTATTTGGAACTATCAAAGAATTTTGATACAGTATTTGTACGAAACATTCCACAATTTTCACTGGCAAAGCGGACTCAAGCTCGGCGATTCATAACACTCATTGATAACTTCTATGATTACAAGGTAAGGATGGACTCCATTTTCCTAGGACCACGCAATCAGATGTCCTGGGTCAGAATCCTGGCTCTACCAATTCCTTTACTTCTGTGCCTTGGTTTCCCCATCTGTAAATAGGGGCTAACAGTATCTACCCCCAAACGGCTATTGTGAGGACCACACAGGTTGTTCCATGTAACATACTTAAATCTGCATTTGGCCCACGCTGCAGCAGCTAGTGTCAGGCCCCATGGAAAGTCACTCTGCTGCTACATTAATGTCCCGTCATCCTACAAGTAGGGCTGTGTGTACCAGACTGAGCGCTCAGTGCACACGCCTTGTTGAAATGTTCTTGAGGTCTCCCCACCCCCATCCCAGAACTTTCTAGCCAGACACATCGTGCTATGTTTCTGATCCCTGTGTCCTAACAGGCAGTGCAGCCACGAAAGGCAATGTGGTTAAGGAGTGGTTACGGAGTAGACCCTGCCCAGGGTGCCGGTCCTGAAGACCCGCTGGGCCTCTGAGCTCCTCGGCCTTCACCAGAAGTGAAGGGAAATAATGACACTTGTGTATTTGTGAGGGTGAAGTAGTTATAGAAAATGCTGAGAACCTAGTGTGGCAGGCAGTTCGCTCACACTCAAGGCGAGCTCGGCTCACAGTCTATGCCTCTAAGAAGAAGAAGCCCACAGGGAAGGTAGGGTAAGCATTTTTTTTTTTTAACTACTGGAGATTTCCCTACCTCATCTTTGCACAGAATTGAAGTGGTAATTCAAAATTTGAGGGAACTTTGTAGGGAAGGAGGCGTGTAAGAGAAGACAGAAGAGCTTAATGTTTCATTTCCGCATTCATTCAGGGATCTCTGTGACCCCGAGCAAGGTGCTAGGCCGAAAGTCAGCGGAAATTGAGACGCTGTGGTTGCCATCATGGAGCCTAGGGCCCAGGGTCTGTCCACCCGAGTCTCATGTCTGAGGAAATCGTGCTCACTTAGCAGTTCAGGATGACCTTTTGGTCCAGGGACAGTTGAGAGTGGTCCAGGGAAGTCCTCTGTGGTCTACTTGCATCAGAGCCATCAGGGCCACTTAAAACCCCAATTCCAGAGCCGCCTTATCCCCACCTTAGCAAATGAGGACGAGGCACGGGGCCGGAAGCCCATGCTCACAGGTTCCCCAGGTGCTGCTTAGAATGTCAGGGGATGGAGGGCTGATCCCAGCACAGGGCAGGAGACATAGGCCTGGGATGGGGGAGAGGCAGCCAGGGATGGGGGAGGGGTACTAAGCATGAAAGGCAGCCTGTGGGCTCTGGTCAGGCAGCCCAGGAAAGCCTGCTGAAGGCATGCAGCAGAGGCCACGCAAGCAGGGCCTCAGGACAGGGGTCACTGACCTGAGGGAGCTGAGGCTCGGGGCAGGTCTCCTCTCACCCAACAGGCTGGAGGGTATCCCTATTCTACGAGGCAAAGGCTTCACAGGGAAAATAGTGGAAGTGCATTGGAGTAAAGTATAAAGGTCGGGTGGTTTATGTTTCAGCTGGGAAGGCCTCAAAGGAAATCTGTTTCCCATTGCTCTGCCGGTCACTCAGTCCCCTCCTACCTTTTCACATATTTAAACCTATACAAGCTTTGCCTGGCAGTGTGAGGGAATGCCCAAACTACCTCCCCATCCTGACATTTATTCTAATTAAACCACATAGTTCGATTTTTCACTTTTAAAGTCTAGTCAAAATTATCCTATTTCAGAAATTGAGAGCATTAAGCAGACATCATTCTAGAATGTTTTCATGAAGATTTGTGAAATAGGACATTTCCATTTAAGTAATGAAAAAGGTGTCATTTGTGATTGAAAGAATTTATTAAAATAAAATGGGAATGCTAGTCCCTAAAGTCAACATGTTGTTTTAAAGTATCGATATAGTTACTTGAATGATGACTTTTGAAAGGCTGGCAAGTCTAAGCTCTTTAAACATCCAGAGAGGTATGTTTTGGAGCTGGGCATGTTTGTGCCTATAATGCTGGTTCGTGGGAGGAAGAGGCAGCCTGAGCTACATCCCAAGATCTGCCTGAAAAAAAAAAAGAAGCGAAGAACAAGTATGATTCGATTCTGAGTGGATCGATGAGTGGATATAAAATATATAAAAGGTATACTCTGTTGTCACGCTGTGGTCATATCTGCACACTGGGACACTGAGATACTGAAAGGGCGTTGATGGAAAGCCCTGTGAAGAGTGCCCTGGCAGACTGCTAAAGAGAAAGGCCTGGAAACATGGCTCCATGGTTAAGAGAGTCTGTGACTCTTCCAGAGAATCCAAACCCATGTTGGGTCCTTACAACTGCCTCTAGTTCTGGCTCCAGGGGAAACGACACCCTCTCCTGAACTCTGCAAACACTCATGCACATATCCACACACAGAGATACATAACTGAAGCTAAATCTTAGAAAGAGAAAAGGGTTTGGGTAGATCTTCCTGGAACCATCACAACCCCAAAGGTTCCACCTCTTAGTAGTCTTGTACTGGGAATGTCCCAACGTAAGTTTTGGAGGGGCTGATGACATCCACACCATAGCAGTAAAGGCAAGAGCACTGGAGGAGGACCCCTGGATCCGAACTGAGGCTGCCACTGGCCTGGCTACATAGCCCCTGCTGATTGGGTCACAGCGTGGTCTAAGATGTGCAGAAATGTGTTGAAAGTGCTATGAGGCTTTTAAACCATCGCTTAACTACAGACTACTAGGAAAAAAACCTAGATGTTTGAAAAGCAAAGACCCAAGCTTGTGATGTGACAAGCAGGTAAAACTCCTGTGAGATTTTTCTTTCCCGCCCTGTGTTCTTTTCCCGGTTTAGGTGCGTATCATTTGCTGTGCGTCGGCTCCTATCTCCAGCTTATTCTTGCATCAACACCATGACAGTGAGTTGGAGCAAAGCAGGATACTGATGGATGACTTGGGGCTGAGCCAGGTAGGTGATAGTAACATGATTCCATTTCTTATGAAACAGTTTAGTTGTTTGCGGTTTGATACATGCTATGCTTTGCAGAAGGAGCTATTGAGTTAATGCTTTCTAGCCAACTCCATCTCAGTATTGGCACATTTAGCGAGTCTGTCTGAGAAGCCCTGTTGAGTGTGTAGGCCAATGCTTCATTTTCACACAGCAGAAACAGAGTCCTGTAGACTACTTAGCAAGTCCCAGGTGAAAGAAAGAAATCCATAGCCACGGGAATGTTGGCTGTCAAAAAGCAACACCTATGTAGTCAATGCACCTGAAGAGCTAGTCAGTCAAGTTAGTTTTCATCATAGGTTTTTTAAATTACTGTAAGAGTCAGGCTTCAGACTTGAGGCCCAATATGGAGAAATCAGGGAAAGTGACCTCAGGCTTCTAGAGTCACAGTGACTTGGTGGGGAAGAGGGGCTTAGGGACGACGAGCTTAAGGAAGGATGGGCTTAGGGAAGAGGGGCGTAGGGAAGAGGGGTTAAAGGATGATGGGCGTAGGGAAGAGGGGCTTGGAGAAGATGGACTTCGAAGTGTTGAATTTCCTCTGAAAGAACTTAAGAGCAAACCCCCAAGGAGAGAGAGAAAAACCCTCATGACCACAAGCCCATGTGGTGTGCCTAGTCCCAAGGTGTTGACTGGTTTTACAGTGGGAGGGGTCCCCAACATACCCCTCAGCAAGGGGACCAATATCCTAATAGCTAAGGACCAAAAGCAGTTCAAGTCTTTGCGGAGTTCTTCAGGCAGGCTGTTCCCATAGAAACTTTCAGTCACTCAGTCTACAAAAGGCTCTTCAGGGATCTGTTCCCAGGTCTTCCTACCTTACTAGAACTTCATTTTTGGGTTGTTAAGACATACATTGCATGTCCAATGAAGAGGATGCCCCAACATTACAGAGGAACTCGGGTGACTGTCCAGGTAGTAAGATATCTCTGTCAATTCCATGTTTATTATCCTTCTGTGGTCTTTGATGGAGTTGAAGACAGATAGTTGTAGTTATAGTTTTCCTTAGTTATGATAAAAGATTAGCTACATATAAGACTTTAGACTACAAAGATAGGATAGATGATACTTTCTATAAATCTTACTAAATGTTAATGGACAAAATATTGTAACTATAGTTCCTGCTTGATAACTGTTTTGTTATATATAATTTGACTATGTTAAAGTTAAAACCTTTCTTTTATTTTAGACAGAAAAGAGGAGATGTTGGGAGACATCATTCTGTAAATATGTGTCTGATTGGTTTGAATAAAGCACTGTTGGCCAATAGGGAAACAAGCTAGGTGGGGCTAGGAGTCTAGGAGGATTCTGGGAATGGTAGTGAGGAGGTCTCTCGCCATGTGATCTCCCAGGAGCAATGGGCGCTCAGGAGTGTGTCCTCAAAAAGATAAATTCTTATAAAATATATATTAGTAATAATGGGTTAATGATCAAATCAGAGCTAGCCGACAAGAAACCAAGCAAACAGCCAACAGCTTCATAATTAAAAAAAAAACAAAAGACAGACATTGTTTTGAACATGCAACCTTCCTGTCTTTGCCTGTGGAGTTCTGGGATTATAAGATAAGTCTCCATGTCTAACAAAGCTATCATTTTTGTCATTAGCTACTTTTGGAGAGAGATTTCTTCCCAGCTTGTTCTCATAGTTTGCAGAGAACCTCCTTCTGAGCAAAACAAACGTTTTGGTTTCTGTTCCAGTTTTGACCTGATATTTTTCTTTCTTTTTTTCCTTCCTGGTTCTGTTGATTGCCTATTAGTTTAGATCAGCTAACACTTTAGTCCGCATAAGAGATTGTATGTGGGGAGGAACATATGATCTAAGTAGATAAGCCTGAAGGCGTTTTCAGCCCGGATTTGGTCCACATGTCTTCCTCTGGAGTGACCAGTTTCCACTGGGGCTTTTATGTTTTGTCTGCTCTCTCTCAGGACTCGGCAGGGCTCTCCATGTTCACAGGAGAGGAGGAAATCTTCGCATTTCAACGCACAATTTCCCGCCTCACAGAAATGCAAACTGAGCAGTACTGGATTGAAGGGGACAGAAGCAAGAAGTAAGGTCACTTTTGTAAGAATAAAAACTAGCGACTGGAGAAGGCTGTGAGACAGCACTGAGACTTGACGAAATCATCTCTTCCTCATTGATAATGCACTTTGTCTCCCAGACTCTGATCATCTGAGGCAGTGGACGCGTACACTGATGTCTGGTCTTTGTAGATCCATGTTTTGTCCATTTATTTGGACTTATCCTATACCGTAAAATGAAATCACCACTCCTGGCGATTACTATAAAAACTGACATGTTAGCACATGACTGAATCTTGAACATACAAACACACAGGGAATGCAGGCTTCCTGGGCATCTCTAAGCTTTGGCTGCACAGTAGTCACACCTTGTAAATACACTTGCAGGTGGAGTTATACTTTGCAGTTCAAGACAAAGAAAGCTTTCTGGACATATAAACTGAAGGGGGAAACATTTTACATTGGCCTCTGTACTCCTATTGGTTGGTTATGAATTGCAGTCACCCCCAGGGCTTGAGGTTTCCTCGGTGCTACAGAGAATCTGTGTCTAACCATAGAGAGATCCAGGTTGGCAGGCAGTCCCTGATCACATGAGGATGTGGGTTACAAAACCATCAAGGAAGGACAAGTGGGGAATTCCAGCTAACAACCAGGTCATCCCTCCGCCAGCCAAGGAGGGCAGGCACCTGGAATGTGACTGTGGGAGGAGGCAGAGCCCCACCAGCAGCAGAGTGGGCCCCATCACCCGAGGCTCCCTACACTGTTCACCCGCACCCGCTCTCACGGCAGTGTTCACTGCCCACCCTTGATGCTGAGACTGCAAAGAGCTGGACCTCATGGGAAACAGAAGAGAACTCTTGACAAACCCGTAAACAAAAGCCGATGTCTTCTCCACTGAGTTTCTCTCAGTCACTTACGTAAAACCGGTATTCGCTAGGTATTATTACAAAGGGTGGCTTGGGTTGTAGTTATTAGAGAGTGGGAGAGAAGGGCCAGCAGTTAAGAATGCTTGCTGAGGGCTGGAGGGATAGCTCAGACATTAGAGGCTAATAAGAATGCTTGCTGATCTCTCGGAGGACCTGAGCTCAGTTCCCAGCATCCATGTCAGGTAGCTCAAACCCCAAGGATCTGATGCCCTCTTCCAGCCTCCAGGGGCACCCACATGCTCAGTCCATATACCCACATAGACCAACATGCAATCACATAAATTTTTTTAAAAAGTTAGTTTTAAAGAGAGAAGACAAATCTTAAATTCTGGCCCAGTGAGATGGCTCAGTGGACAAAAGGACTCACACACAACCCTGGCAATGTGAGTTCAATCCCAAGAACCCACAATTGAAGGAGAAAACTGGATTCTCAATGTTGTCCTCTGACTGTCACACTTATGCCTGTACTTAACACACACACATACACATAATAAATAAAGTAATTTTTAAAAAGACCTTCTTAATCCCTCTTCAGAAAAGAAAAACTATGAAACCCCCAAATTATATGGAAATCAACTATTTGGGAGAGTAGTGTATGCATATACATACAAGTGTATGTATGTAGTATGTATGTATGTATGTATGTATTATGGATGGATGGGTGGGTGGGTAGATGGTTGTTGGATGGGTGGGTGGGTGAATGGATGGATGGATGGATAGGATGGGTAGACAGGCGAGTGGGTGGGCAGGCAGATGGATGGATGGATGGATTTTTGTGGTGCAGGCTACTAAACTCAGGGCCTTCCCCTGTGCTAGGTAAGTGCTCTACCACTGAGCTGTCTTGCTCAGGCACACTCTAGTCCTAAAGCTTACCTTTCGCTTTTTACATTTCTTTTTAGCGTTAATAAAAAAGACAGTGTGGATGGATAGACAGGTGGACAGAGGACTAACAGAAAAAAGGAACTGTCCCTGAGTGTGTGTTATTGATAGCACAGGGCCCCACTCCAGTTCTTCATTTGAGGTCAGGGAGGTTCCAGTGGGAAAGCACAATACTCTGTGCCCTTGACAGCAAGGTGAGCCTCTGTTGGAGAAGATTGTCTTCAACAGTGCAAAGCTTAGGAAAGACACATGGACTGGAGAGGAAAAGGCAGATGTTGTGGAATATTCCTCTACACTGTGTCTCACTGTGACTGGTTTAATAAAAAGCGGAGTGGCCAATAGTTAGGAGGATTTCTAGGCATAGAGGATGCTGGGAAGAAGAAGGATGAAGTAAGCAGCATGACCAATACAGAGTAAAGGCAACCAAGTCACATAAAAGGACATAGATTAAAAGATATGGGTTATTTTAAGTTATAAGAGCTAGTTAGAAACAAGCCTAAGCTATTGGCCAAGCTTTCTTAATTAGTAAGTCTCTGTGTCATTATTGGGAAGTCAATGGTCCCAATGAAAAATTCACCTACAGGTGGGGACACCTACTTACCCAATGTGGTAGTTTAATGTAATTAGCCCCATAAGCTCATAGGGTGTGGCATTATTGGGAGGTGTGGTTTTGCTGAAGTAGGTATGACCTTGTTGAAGGAAGTGTGTCACTGTGAAGGTGGGCTTTGAGGTCTCATATGCTCAAGCTATGCCCAGTGTCTCAGTTCACTTCCTGTTACCTTCAGATCAAGATAATAGAATTCTCTTTTCCAGCACCATGTCTGCCTGCATGCTGTCATATCCCACTGTGATGATAATGATTGAACCTCTGAACGTAAGCCACCCAATTAAATGTTTTCCTTTATAATATTGCTGTCATCAGGGTGTCTCATCACAGCAATAGAAGCCCTGACTAAGACACTTAGCCAGATCAGCCAAATCAACCAAGTGACCAGTGTATGGCAGATATCACAACCAGATTGCCCTCACATCTGAGGCCAGTTATTTGGAATACAATTTCATTTTTTTGTGGATCAGTGACGTATTATCAGTCCCCAGTGTAGGTGGCTTATCTTTCTGTTACTAAGAAGTTTAGATAGCTTTTGAAAATACTGTGTCTATAGGGTGAACTGCAGTGTAAGGCCCTATGGGCTTTGCAGGTTGTGCCCTCTCCTGTTCCCTTCCATCCCTCCAGCCCCAGGCCCCTTCCCCAGCTCCCTAGGCCTAGTGGGAGATGCAGCTGTGGAAGGGGCTTTCTAGGCCAGGGGTTGGGAGCAGAGAGGAAGGCTGGAAGGCCTCTGTATGGGCTCTGCCTCCGTATCAGGAGGTTCTGCAAATGATCCATCTTCATCTGGGCCTCCTCTCCACCGTCTGCCTCACAAAACAGCATGCAAGAAAAGAAACAAAACAGCATGGTAGCTGGACCAAAAAGAAAACAAGTTGGGTGTCCTTCACCCAAATGCTCAGGACTGGGAGGGTTCTGGATGCAGCATTTCTTGGATTTGGGGGTACTTGCATATTTATAATTCAATATCTTTGGGCCAGCACTACAGCCTAACCAGAAAATCTGTAAGTTTCATATAAACCTACACATGACCCCAAGGTAATTTGATATGGTATTTCTAGTGTACCAGAATTTTTAACATATTTATTTATTTTATGTGTATGGGTGTTTCACCTGCATGTAACTGTGCACCATGTGCTGGCATGACTGAGACCTTCAAAGGCCAGAAAGGAGCATCAGATCCCCTAGAACTGGAGTTATAGATGGTTGTGAACTGCCATGTGGATGCTGGGAACGGAACCTGGTCCTCCAGAGGAGCAGAAAGTGCTCTTAACTGCCGAGCCACCTCTTCAGCCCCCCATGCCTGCATTTTGACTCTCATAAGAGGTATGGCATGGAATTTTCCATTTGACATGTCAGTCAGCAAACCAAAGTTCCAGGTTGTGGAGCATCTCAGGTCTTGAAGTTTTTGTTAGGGACACAACACCTGTAACATGGAAGTACAGCACGTAATAACCCACACTGGGGCACCTCACTTTAGTAGCTTTCAGCTGTGATCTGTGAAGTTCCCACCATGCCAGTCTTCTCCCTGGGGTTGCAGAACCAGGAGCCCATGCTCCTCTCACTGGAGTGCTTGGTGCGTGCGTGCGTGCGTGCGTGCGTGCGTGTGTGTGTGTGTGTGTGTGTGTGTGTGTGTGTGTGTGTGTGTGTGTGTACAGATGAGGTCCCCGCACGTGCTGCTGTAAAACAAAGCTCTGTTCACCCAAGACCCAGACCAGGAGGCCTAGGTTCAGAAGATCAAGGTGCCTCAGAATCTTCCTGATTCACACCCAGAAGGTCCAGAGCCTCAGAATCTTCCTGACTCACCCCCAGAAGGTCCAGAGCCCCAGAATCCTCCTGATTCACACCCAGAAGGTCCAGAGCCTCAGACTCCTTCGGACTCACCCCCCAGAAGATCCAGGTGCCTCAGAATCCTCCTGACTCACCCCCAGAAGGTCCAGAGCCTCAGAATCCTCCTGACTCACCCCCAGAAGGTCCAGGTGCCTCACCTCCCATTCCCAGACTTGACAGAAAATAAATGGGAAGAAATAGGACAACTTTTCTTGGAAAAAGCAAAACCTATTTGTTGTGTGAAATGTTTTTTTTACTCTCTTGTTGGGGGCTGGTCACCCAGGTCCCTCAAAAAATCACACACAGAGTCTTATTATTACTTGTGAATGCCTGGTCTTAGCTCAGCTTTGTTTCTAGCCAGGTTAAAATAACTACCTTTCCCTCTGAGCTTTTCTTCCTTTCTTCTGTATATCTCAATTTCCTTGTTATGCCTTGACTGACTGGATGGATGGCCGGCTCCTGATGTCCTCCTCTCCTTGTTCTCTTGCTGCTGCTTCTTTTTCCTCGATTCTATTTATGCTCTCTGCCTACCGTCCCGCCCCCATCCTTACTCCTGCCTCACTATTGGCCATTCAGCTCTTTATTAGACCGTCAAGTGTTTTTGGACAGGCAAAGAATCACAGCTTCACAGAGTTAAACAAATACAGCATAAAAAAGTCATACGCCTTAAAATAATAGTCTACCACAGCTATTCATTGTATACCGTGTGCGTGTGTGTGTGCGCGCGCGTGTGTGCGTGTGTGTGTGTGTGTGTGTGTGTGTGTGTGTGTGTGTGCGTGTGTGCGTGTGTGTGTGTGTGTGTGTGTGTGTGTGTGTTAACAGACCATGAGCTTATTTGCTGGTGACAATCATGAGATAGATAATATGGAGGACTTGCATATTTTAATCCACTTCTGAGTTCAAAGCACTGCTGAATTATATTTATGCATTCCCGGTGGGGTTTTACATTTTTATTACAAGGAGATATTTTCATCTTTCTGAAATTCCCTCTCCCACCTTTCTCTGTTCTCGCCCTGGTACTTACAAGTATGAAAATAATATAAGTTTTAAATTAGTTGGAATTTAAAACAATCTTTACATTTAATATAAATAAATGAATATGCTCATGTTTACTTATTTAAGAATCATATGGCGTTTATACGTGCTAAAATTCCTCATAAACAAACTCTTTTGTTCCTTGTGACTCTCCTCTGAGATACAGAAGCTGTTACCCCTATTTTAAAGACAGGGAAATTGAGGCCAGGAAATGACAAAACCAGAGCCGAGGTGCTAAGACACACATTGGAGTGGAGGGAAGTATCCAGACACTAACTACACCGTCCATTTCCCCGCCTCTGTCCTGTAAAATCCACTCCTGCAGCCTCTCCATGCCCGGAGAAAACACCTCTAGTGGGGCTCCAGTCTGTGAGCCAGTGTTTGGGTGTGTCTGCTCTGGAGTCTGTAAGGGACACTCCTACCTGGGGCGGATGTGTCGGCCTTAGGGGGGCTTCCAGCGGTTCCCCTGAGAAGCCTCCTCTCCAGGGTGTACTTTCCAGATCCCAGCACTGACTATGGCCTACGTCCAGGTCTGGGATCCTGGAACCAGGAAACTCTTTTCTGTCGGTTTTTACTCTGTGACCTGGAACACACCCGTGCTCTTCGCTTTAATTTTCTTCTGAAGGACTACTCTAAAGCAAGCAATAGAAAGCTCATGGCAGATGGTCGAGGCTTAAATGGATAATAGGCTAACAATTGTGATCAGATTGCTCTAATCAGATGCTCAATCCACGGCTATTGTGCATTATCGATCTTTGAGGAATGCGAGACTGAAGACAGCCCACTCCGGCGGCTCCTTACAGAGGAACAACGACCACAGTACTCGCCGGCACTCAAGGACTCAAGGCCTGGCTGAGATGCAGGGTCCTTAAATCCTAATCCATTCTTTCAGCACAGCTGAAAACAGAAAATAGTACTCGGTTGGTGGACTTCAGTCATTTCCCATGAAGAGGGCACCATCTTGTGGCCGGTGCGGTGAACTGACAGGGGAAAGTCTAGGATTGCGGGTTATTCACAGGCCAGGGCCACCTCCAGAGAGCCAGGCATTCTTGGAGAGCCTAGCAAGCACGTTCTCTAATGCTCCCCGTGGGATCCTGATTTTCAGCAGGGTGGGTCTGTCCCGAGATGATGCAGTCAGCAAGCACGTGGGGCTGGCTCTGCAGCCCGGGACCCTTGACTCCTTGATGGAGGAGCGTTTTCAAGCCAACCCTGTGGTACTCATGGGTCTTGATGCCCAGATCACAAGCACACGGCCTCTCCGTCTCCCTCCCGGAGGCAAGAGGCCCCTGCTGTGCTTCCTCACTCTTGGTAACAGCGGAACTGAGCCGGGCAGCCCTTCTGGTTTGCAGAGCAGTTTCCTGCTCTGTGTTCACCAGCAGCGTGCTTATCCCCCCCTAGGGAATAGGCATGCCCAAGGGAGCACCTTCTCATCTCGGAAAAATATTAGTTTAACTCTTAAAAATAGTAAAGTACGCCCTACAGAAATAGTATTTAAAATGCATTGTTTTCTTTGAGACTGCCTACTGACATCCAACTTCTGCTCCTCTTGCCCTAGCTGCCTGGGATTATTAGTTGTGTGCCAAGGAGACATCTGCTTTCATTTCTAACATGGTGATCTGGGTCTATGCGCCCCCAGCTCCTGCGCCCAAAGCCTTTTGAGACCTGCAGTCATGTCAATAGTGGAATGTGGTCCTCCGATAGTTCTCTCCCTTTGGTAAGCTTAAACTCCGTTTCTGAGGGAGGGGCACTGCCCTCTGCCGTCACTCTCCTACACCGGCTGTTCCAAAACAGCAGCACTGTTTCTCTGCTTGAACATTCGACTTGGGAGAGGCATCTGGAGTCAGCTTACGTGGATCACTCCGGTGTTTGTTAACACAAACTGTAGTCATCCCACAAGGGACCCTCCATTAGATCGCTCTGTAGGCTAGTCTGTGGAGGCATTTTCTTGATTGATGATTGATGTGGGAGGCCCAGCCCACTGTGGGCGGTGCCACCGTGGCTAGGTGGTTCTGGGTTGTGTGAGAAACCAGGCTATGCAAACCATGGGGAGTGAGCTGTGTTTCTTCACGGTTGCTGTTTCAGCTCCTCGGGCCCCTTGGCTTCTCTTCCTGCTGTGCTGTAGGATGAAATAAACCCTTTCTCCCCCCCTCCCGAGTTGCTTTAGGTCATGCTATTTATCTCAGCAATAGAAAGCACACTAGGATACACCCATTTTTAATATCACACATGCGTCATGCTGCTTCTGGAAACCCTGCCCAAAAGAACAAAGTGTCTTGCTGGTTCTTCTGTGTCTCTGTAATAGAAAATCCGAGACTGGGTTGTTACAACGGGTTTACTTCTGCCTAGGCTGAGCAGCCCATGGCGGAGGCGCTGCATCTGGCGAGGGCTTTTGCTCTGCATCGCCCTATGGTGAGTTTTAAAATGGCCATTGTGAAACCTACACTCCGGGTTAGAGAAGGTATTGTCACACACAGTGTCCGCGTCGCACTCTTCAGTTTCGTTTTTTCAGATTAATTTATTTCATATGTAGAAGGGTTTACCTGGATGTACGTATGCGGGTACCGTGTGTGTGCCTGGTGCCCGAGGAAGTCAGAAGAGGGATTTAGATCCCCTGGAGCTGCAGTTATGGATGGTTGTGAACCACCACATGGGTGCTGGGAATAGAACCTGAGTCCTCTGGGAGAGCAGCCAGCGCTCTTAACTGCTGCCGCTTCTCCGGACGCTCACAGCCTTTCTTGATCCCTCTAGTTACAAAGACCACCAAGGCCAGCTATCCCCCAAACGCGTCTCCTCCCTGACTCTGACCTCAGCCCATCACTGTCTGCTTCCAAATCCAGCATGGCTCCAGGGACTTGACCTGACTGGAGGCCAAGAGAGACTGAAGAGAGTCACAGGCACACAAAGAAGCAGGGATCCGACAGACTGCTCTGGCTAACGGAGAAACCACAGCACCGTGGAAGTGCAGCGTGTTTATTACAGAAGGCCAAACAGAAGCCAGGTCACTGTGCACAGCTGAGTGAGGAGGCAGGGTCACTGCACAGCTGAGTGAGGAGGTGGGGTCACTGCACAGCTGAGTGAGGAGGTGGGGTCACTGCACAGCTGAGTGAGGAGGCGGGGTCACTGTGCACAGCTGAGTGAGGAGGCGGGGTCACTGTGCACAGCTGAGTGAGGAGGTGGGGTCACTGCACAGCTGAGTGAGGAGGCGGGGTCACTGCACAGCTGAGTGAGGAGGCGGGGTCACTGCACAGCTGAGTGAGGAGGCGGGGTCACTGCACAGCTGAGTGAGGAGGTGGGGTCACTGCACAGCTGAGTGAGGAGGCAGGGTTATTTACTGCATACAGATCAACACGGACCACTGAGTCATGTACTTTAAAAGGCTGAATTTTATATATGAACATATGTCGGTGAGGTAGTTAAAAAATAGCATACAAATATTCACTAACCATTCATGCATCCACTCACAGGCATTTATTTTTATGCACTCTTTTCAAAGATCCAGGCAAAGCCACATCAGTATGACTAGGAGAAACTCCCTGGCCAAGATGGACTCACAGTCTTTTAGGAACACACAGACATAATACAGAAGTATCCAGAGTGGCCTACCTGGGGACATGGAGAGTTCTCATGTCAGCCAGGAATCATAGGAGAAGGTGGAGAAACGACAGAGGGAGACACCGTTGGGAGGAAAGGTAGAGAGTGCTAAGCTCCACCCCTCAAACCCCTGATTTAATGAGTATTGCATGCTGGTTTGTGCAGTGCTTGCCAAGTGTCAAGAGACATGGCTGGTCGTTCTGGGAGCTCGGGAGAGGAGGCAAAGTGACTAGAATAGCGTTTTTCTGAATGTTTAAAGAGAAGTCAGATGCGACTTGTCCTCCAGACTTAACAATTTCCTTTTAGAATCCAAAATTCAGACGGCAGAGTGTAAAAACTGCTGTTCTCATCAAAATGTACCCCTCATTTTGCACTAATAACCTATCTCATTTTTAACCAAACTCTGTAGCATGCAGAATATTAAATTTATTTGCTAAAGAAGTATCGGCTGATTTCTGTTGATTAGAATAACATAGTCTGTAGAATTAAAAAATAATTGCTTATACTTTTGTAGTACTGACATCATCAGATTTCACAACACAAAATAAGCATCAAACCATACTAAAACAATATTAAGTTTAAGACAAAATAGACCCAATGTTTGGCTGAGCTAAGGTCCGAGAATAGTCCACCCATTTCTGAATCCCCTGGTCAAACCTGAAGATGGAATGGGAAGGTTTGCCTGTGGCACGGATGGGGAGAGCCATCAATTTACCAGTGAAAGAGAAGGGCAGGGCAATGCTGTCTTGGTTGTCACAGCACAAATAAGAGGCCCCCGGTGATCTGAGGCCAGCCAGGGACAGGCAGGCCCACCTTTCTGCTGCAACCAGTGCGACCAGCTTGGAGTAGCCCATGGCACGGGTCTGAGGGGCTGAGCCCTCCTTGGCCTTAGATCCAGAAGAGCCTTACTCTCCTAGGCTCTGTCCTGTCCTCAGGGGCCACCTCCCACCCTGGTGTCAGTCTTCTTCGCTGTCCTCAAGGCTGGAAATGAAGCTCCGGGTTGTGGGAGTAGGGAGTCCTCAGACCTGCTCTGTCCCCATAGCCTGTCCCATTAAAAGAGCTGCGGGCGGGTAGACATAGTGGCAAATGCCTTAATAAAAGGGAGGGAGGGCTAAGACAGAAGGATCCCCACAGGTCTGAGGCCAGCCTGGTCTCTGTGTTGTTTCAGGCAAGCAGGGCTACATAGTGAGAGCCCATCTCAAAAGATCAAGTGACAGGAGTGTAAGGACCTGCTGTCTCCAGGCTTTGTTCACCCCCCACAAACTTTGCAAGCGGCAGAAAGGTCTGTATCACGGCTGGGGACACCAGAATGGGTCTCGGCTCCCAGAGACTTGGTGACTTGGTTTCCTCAGTTTTGCAGTGAGGTCTTGTTTGCTCTTTGGCTCCAGAAGACCCGGGTTACATGCATTTCTTATATTGACGGCTGGGGGGCGGTATGGCTTCTTTACACAATTTTCCTCCTAGTGACTGCTTATCACCAGCACTTTTTGCTGGATGATTAATTAAGGCTAGTTTATTATTTAATTTCTTGCCTTCCAACCTAGTGGTTGACCAGAAACATCTGGGATGAGAATATAGACTATCTATGTGCCTAACTCAAGCACATCAGCAGTGGATAGCTTGGAACCTTGTATCTTCGGAAAACCAGATGCTTAAAGAAAAAACTGCCACACTGAACGTGCCAGCCTGGGCAGTGGCTGCCAGCAGGGCTGGGGTATACTACAGGGTACTGGGTGGTCCCTGATTTGGAAGAAGAAAGCACATGGGACGCTATTTAACTTCATGATGTTTCTAAAGTCAGAAATGACGATTGTTCTGCACACCGTTTTTCCAACCACATGGCACTTTCGGTCCGTCCCATCAGCTTCATCCGCAGGGAAGAGCCACTCCACCATGCTGAGACCTGACAATGGCACCTTTGTTTGTCCCCTTAGTTAGTCAGGGATAGCCTCACACTATACTTTGTGCCACTGGATGTCACTGGTGTGGTTATTAAAGGCAAGAGCTTTAAATCACAGAATCCACGGAACCTTTTGCAAGTGAGAGGTGAGCTACGGCCAACAGTGTTACAATCTTGCACCACATGAGACGTTTTCAATTGCTCATGGCCAGAGGTTCCTGAGAAGGTTTGGACTTGAAGAACTTGGTCTTTTCCTCAGAGGACAGTACAAAGAAAATGAGCTTCTCTGACTTGTTGGCTATCCTGCACAAGTAGCTCACTCCCATGCTGCTAACAGCACATCCTAAAATCAGACCCCTGAGGGAGCGATGGTTTCTCAACCTGAGAGGAAATGCTCACAGCTGCGCTAACTCCTACTACAAGGAGGGTTATAGCATGATAAATAAGAGACCCAGAGACAGGTATTGGGATTCAAGCTTCAAGCTGAAGATCAGAAAAGCAAAGCAGCCAAGCCACTAGATCTTACCTCTACCTCAGGTTAAAAGGATTGATCCTGTCTCCTCCAACTCTCACCAAGCCTCAGACTGCTGCCTCTCCTTGAAGTGGCTGGGGAATCAATGCCTTCCTATCCTCAGTGTGGCTGAAGAATGAATGCCAGCTCTGAGACCCTGTTCCTGTCTTAAATACCTCTCATGAGTCCTGGGATTAAAGGCGTAAACTCAGTTTCTCTTTTAGACGGATTCAATCTGGTGTAGGCCTGGGTGACCTTGAACTCAGAGAGATCTATCTGCCTTTGTCTTCTGAGTCCTGGGATTAAAGGTGTGTACCACTACTTCTATGGCTAACTAGTATGGCTGCTTTGCTATTTTGATCTCCAGTGGCTTTAATAAGTCATAAACATCACCACAGAGGGCATTCTGAGCAGGCTTGGGAATATTGCCATGAGGTATGAGCTGTAGCCAAAATGATGTCAAGCAGCATTGGCAAGAACCTGTGACAAAAAGGAAGACCAGAGAGTTTTCCACAAATGCATTTGATGACCTCAATGAAGTGGACCTTGGAAAACACAAACTTGAGACCCACATAGTATGACACAGATGGTCAGGAAAGCCCTAGAACTATGAACAGATCAGAACCAGTAACTTAAAACTTTCTGGAAAAGAAACATGCAGGCTCAGGTGACTTCCCTGGAGAAGTATGCCAGTGGAGGGACACTTCCCTAGTCTCAGGAAGCTGGAGTTGCTGACATTAAAGCCAGCAGCAACAAAAGACAACAACAACAAAATGAAACTAAAGCTTAATGTCCCTCATGAATCTAAAAACAAAAACTGTAAAAAAAATGAGCAAATATGACCAGCAACATAAATAAAGAGTTACAAATCATGATCAGTGACACATTCTTATTATTCTAGCACTCAGGAGGCTGAGGCAGGAGGATCACAGGTTGGAAGTTAGTCTGGGTCATGTAGACTTTGTTTCAAAAAAGAAAGTTATATATCATAACCAAGAAAATATTGTCAGGGTGCAAAGCTAATTCAGCATTTGAAAAAACAATTAGTGTAATCCACAGAATTAAGGTTAAAGAACTTTTGTGTAATCCAATAAATGTATGCATAACAAGCATTTTATAAGATTCAATATGTATTCATGATAAGAATAGTCTGTGTGGCTAGGAGTATATCTCAGTGCTAAAGAGCATAGAACACACACAAATAAAAAGATGGAGCCTTAAAAGAATCTTAAGAAAACAATTGAAAGGAGGAAGCAAACCTGTAACGCTCCTTCTCACAGGGGTGGGTGTGGGTGGGTAGGGTCAGGGGAGGACAGGGGGTAGATGGGGGTGGGTGGATAGGTCAGGTGGGTGGAGGTAGGTGAGGGTGCGTAGAGGAGTGGGTAGGGTCAGTGCTGTGGGTGGGGGCAGTAGCTGATGCTGTCACTCTCAGATCAGAAAGGTAAAGGACATGCACTCTCCAGACTCTTCTTGGACACAGTTCTTGAAGTTCTGCAGACAGAGTGGGCAACAAACGGAAACAGAGGGTAAACAGACCAGAAAGGAAAAACTTAAGAACAAATCTCAAATAGTATGATTACCTAAGGATAAAATCCCAGAGTATCTACAAAGAAAAAGCTTGTAAAGTGCATAAGCAAAGTCAAAGCATACAAAATAAACATTAAAACCATGATGTCTCCTTATATTAGTAATGAATACATAGACACTAAAGTTAAAAGACTATACAATAGAAAGAGACAAGCTGTGCTCTCCAGACTGTTGCTGGTGGCCTTCCATCCCCAAAGTACCCCATTCCCACTTCTACAGTGCTCCTGTCCCCACCCCCGCAGTACCCCCCTTCCCATTCCTGCATTACCCCCCCCATGCTCTCCTGACCCAGCAGTGCAGCGACTCCAGTTCTGCATCTGGGATCTATTTCAATCGACACCCACAGCTCCTACCTGCAGCCCTCTGAAGGATCCGCTGTAGCCTGAGGGCTCCTTGCCCTCTATAGTCAGCTTACAATGCCTCCTGTCTCCTGTTGCTTAAAACCCTTCAGAAAATGTTCTTGTTTCCTGTTTGGATGGGTGGGCTGGGGTGGGACATCTGTTGGCCCTGTTGTGTTTATTCACCTGTGTCTCAGTTAGGGTTTCTATAGTTGTGAAGTTACTATTGACTACAGCAACTTTTATAAAAGAAAACATTTAATCGGGCTATCTTACAGTTCAGAGGTTTAGTCCATTATCATCGTGGTAGGTGGCATGCAGGCACCTAGACATAGTGCTGGAGAAGGAGCTGAGAGTTTTACATTTTGATTCGAAATGATTCGAAGGCAGCAGGAAGTGAACTGTCTACCACACTTGGCATAGCTTGAGCATACGAGACCTGCCCTCACAGTGACACACTTCCTCCTAATAGTGCGACTACCTATATGCCAAGCAGTCAAACACGAGAATCTATGGGGACCTATTCAAACCACCACATTCCACTCCCTGGCCCCATAGGCTTGTAACCATAACACAGTGCAAAATTCATTTAGTCTAACTTCAAAAGTCCCATGTCTAGCACAGTCTCAACAATGTTAGAAATTTCAAAGTTTCAAGTCTCTTCTGAGATTCAATCTAACTTTTATCCCTATAAAATCAAAATAAAAAACAGATCACATATGTTCAACATATAATGCCACAGGATATATATTACCATTCCAAAACGCAGGGAAGGGAGCACAGTGAGGAAATACTGGGCCAACACAAGCCTGAAAACCATCTGGACAAACTCCAACTCTGCATATCCATGTCTGCTGTCAAAAAAGTGCTCTTCAGATTCCATCTCTGTTCAGCTTTGTTGACAGAAACACACTTCCTTCTCTCGGGGTGGTTCCACTCCCTGTTAGCAGCTCTCCTCAGCAGGTATCCCATGAATCTGGTATCTATCTCCAAAATTCTGGGGTTCCCAAGGCAATCCAGGCTTCACCTTCACAACTTCACACAATTTCCTCTCTGGGCCTCCATTCAGGGACACCCCTGACACATGTCTGGTCTCAGGAGC